CACCACCCACCTGCCTGAAGATCCAATTGGTTCAAATGCTTAAGAGCCATGACTAGAAATAGCATGGAAAAATATTCTCCCAGTTTAAACTGCAAATAGAAATTTGGAAAGACCAAACAACTATACATCTTGCCAGGAGTTTGGGGTTATTCCATAATTCAGCCTTTGCAAATACAGCCATAAGAAGTGGCCAAGATGTCCCTCTGAATACCATTTAACAAATGACATTGTCAAACCAGACATTACTTAACATTTTACTCTACTGTTTTCTCTCTTTGTAGTTGCCTTAAAACCAATAGCTGGTTCAAGTGAGCAACCACACATCTTCCAGTATAACTGTAAGGGAGGTAAACTGCTACAAAGTCTTTCGTTTCCCTTCCTACACTTGCAATCAATGGAAAATGTGTGAAATAAGATTCCTCGACTCCTACACAGCACAGGGCTTTGTCCTTGATGTCCTGCAGATTCTGAGACATGGAAAGGACAATTGGTATGAGGAGGCCTCAAAGCACATAAGCAAAGATAATAAAAAATAAAACAACATACAAACACTATTTTTCTGCGGAGCACACAGTGGCATCCCACCAGTTCGTATAGCTCAAGCTTTGAGACCTCAACTGAAATAACTGCAGGGTCATATGATGTTAAATGTATCTACAGCAAGAATTTTCATTGCCAAAATAGGATAGGTTTTTGCCATGACAAGTGTAAATGTTTCTATATTCTGGCTGCCACGTTGGACTGATGAGGAGTTGCTATGATCAAATCAATGAACTTATGAACTTCACTGAAAAAGCCTAACTCTGAATATAACCTTATTGCATAGGGAAGCTGCCCTTCCCTACCAGTTGCAAGCAGTGAATCTGTAGACTCACGTTCCTGCACATAACAATTTAAATAAAAAAAAATTGAATAAGACTGTAGTCCTGCAGAAACTGTTTCTGAATAACAAGGGGCATATGAACCAGCAGTGGAGTTCAGCAGCAAGACTCAGTCCTGATACCTAGTCACCAACCTATTTGCCCCTTGCACCAGGCAAGGGTGAGGACTTCAAGAAGTAAAGAACAGGAAAAGGGTTTTAAACATTTGAGCAATAGATTTGTACTGAGCAAAATACACTTGCTTCCACTGCAAGTACGACTCCCACAGACACAAAAATACACTGGGTTGTTGGGGTTTTTTTACCTCCTCTATTCAGCAGCGTGTTTAACCTTGGAGCTGTCAAGCTCCATCATGAATAATGAGCCATGACAACACTCCAAGTGATCCTTGGAGAACAGGCCAATTTTTACTATATGCTACACAAGGCAAAACACTGTTATTGTATTCCCATGGTACTGTACCTGCTTTGAAAATATACAGTAATGTGGCCATCAAGAGGAGACTACAAGTAAATACAGAAAAAAATAAGCTACTTTCTGATATTTCATCACCTACAAACACAGAACGAGCAATAAAACATGTAATATCCTATTTAAAATTAAACCAGGACTGAGCAAGAGATTTGTCTCACTGAATATGCATTTCATATAAACATTTCACAGCCCAGGAACACCTGCATTTGAAACAACCCGTGGTTGCTACAGTATGAAGAGAGAGTACCCTGCAGCTCCCGCAGCACCGCCTTTGGATGACCATCAACATGGGACAGGAGGGCGGCCCCTGCCCCAGCTGCCCCCTGACACTCTCAGAACAAATATACCCACCTGCCCATACACATGGCACTGCCAGGAAGTATAGGAAGAAATTGTAGTTGCTTGAATGACTGGTTGAAGCTCCTCTACATCAACACACTGACCATGCCAAGGCAGGTCTTTAAGAAGGCACAGCACAGGTAAACGAGTAACGGCAAAAGCCATTTCTGCTGTGCAGCTCCCAAGCTCAAGGGGAAGAGGAAGGCAGAGAAGTAGATTCATCTAAATAAAGGAAAACATTCACTTCTCTCCTAAACAACAATGGAGGGTTGTAGTTCCAAATATCCCTTAAAAATATAAATTACCTGTTCAGGAAATACAAGCTAATTCACTAACACACACCTGGAAAACACACAAGCAGCAAGCATCTGTTCTGTGTTTCTGTAAAGGGGAAAAACAAATATATCCTTACTCCTGACCTGTTCGCAACAAGGTATCTGTTCATGACTTTTAAGCGGGAAAAATGTGCCTTTATTTTTGCCTTTTCCTAGTCTCCTTGCCACAAGGGAAAACACAGTGCACCACTTTCCCCTTTCTGTAGGGGCACCACTTTACTTACACTTTGGCTTCAAAAGTTACTGTAAACTATGGGAGCTTTCAGAAAGCTCTGGAGAGCAGGAAAGCAGCAGACGGTAGATGCTTGCCTTTCCTTAAGTTGCTAAGTTTGCAGTATCAGAAAGCAGAAACCAGTGCTCAGCACCTTAAGGAGTTTCAAGTGCTAACACATCTCCCCCTCACTGAACTGCCATTTAAAATCCTCTCCTGCAAGACTGGGTGGCTCTTAGAGAGCCAAAGTCGGAAAATCTCTTGAATTCTTGTCTATGGTTGAAGCCGGAGAAGGGCCTTTATCACCGAACGGATAACATATTTATTGACAATTTAGTTTTCCATTCAGATGTATAGCCACCTACACCCCTCTTCCACCTGCTGTCTTTCCCCTCTACTCACCTCTTCCACATACAAGGTATTTTGCAGCTACTCGCATCATACTAGATTTCCCCTTCCCCTGCAGCCCTCCCAAATCAGCAAGACCCATTCTGCCACCACACACAGCACTGCCACAGTCTCCAGTTCAAAACAGTTCTGTTCTTAACAGACTCGTTCTATACTCAAAGAAGTCCCCCAAATTACAGGGACGGTAATTTTCTTTTTAGTATTATAGTTACAATGTCCTCAGCCCTCCTCATAAACCACGACGATTTCTCCCATTCCTTCATAATATATTTCCATTTATGCCCCACATCACAGCTCTGCACATTTAGCAATTCCATTCCCTGCTAGCAATATTTGGCAATAAGATCCCTTTAAAGAAGGCTAATTACAGATTTCACTTGAACAGAAATTGGTACTGGGCCAATTTGTAAGCTCTTTAATAAGCTTTCAAACTTTACTTCATGCCAGGCAAGACTTTGTTCTCCACCAGGAGCAGCGACATAGCTCTAAAAGCAGAGGTGGAAAGCTTGTCACTACAAGAGGAGGAGGGAAGGTCACAGCTCTAATTCTTCTTGCAGCGCTGCACCTTCTCCATGTGAGCCTTTCCAAAAAAACTAAGAAAGCCAGTTCAGAAATAACGAAAAGTAGTCACAAAAAAACCCCAGCTGACAGTTGTATTAGAAGAGGAACAAAGACCAGTATGACAGAAGGTGGGTCAAAGACTCAGAAATTAGGAATTGATAAAATTAAAGATGCATGGTCACGTGTATGCGCAGAATGTGGCATTTTCTGAGAGCACTTGTGTGAAGATGGAGTTCCAGTTTTCAAAGGGATGGAGGAATCCAAGGCAAAGGGTCTCAAGCACCCCAGTACCTAGTCCCATATCAGGACAAATTTTTTCTGCCTATATATGCCTATATGCCAGACCTAGCACAGAAAACAGCGATCTCACCTGTGGATGTACCTCTCCACCTTTGTCCTGCTGCCACTTTTGCTCTCTGCAATACCTCATATACTAAAATACTGCTGTCAGAGTGGCTGACTGCCCAGAGAATCCCAGCTGGAATCTGTGGGAACCACACGCACTGAGTACACAGCTGTTAGGAAGTCTCCAACTGAGAACTCAACCCACAGGCACTTGAAGAAGAGTTACGAGTGTTACACATGTAAAGCATACATATCAATAATGTCTGTTTGACAGAGATTAAACCCACAAATATATACAACATCCTCAGCTTTTAATGTACCTAAAGGTTTTCCCCACTGGGAGATGCAACATTAAGAGAATAACTCGTGATGGTAGCAGACTTTTCTCCTATACACAGGCAAGCCTTTAAGAGGCCAACAGAACCACTCTTGCAAAAGGGCTACACACCTAAACCCTAGACACTATTAAAACACATTTTAATTGATTTGAGGGACGCTTTTGCCAGCAGGGAAACAAAGCCATGGTACAGCTGTAAAGCTTCACATGTTAATTTTGAAAGGCAAACCACAAGTCTGACCATTCCCCAACCCCTAAAAGCTGAGAACAAAAGAGTGGCAGGACATGAACTATCTTTTTCCAGCCTTATTCTCTGAAGTACCCATGCAGATTTTACTGAAATGTTTGCAGGGTTTACCAACTGAAGAGAGATCTAGTGGGAAAAATTTAATCTAGAGCCTCAAGACTATCAAAATATGAATACTGAACACAGACTACCATAACAGGAAACAATAAGAAATCTGAGATGTGTGTTAATAGATGCTCCAATTACTAATGCATGCATACACAGAGCTTATCAGAAGCACCAAGGCATTTGAAAGGAAAAGCACTATTCAAATACAGACCTTTGTAGCAGCTGTAACACTATCACATTCTCTAGCTGGTTTTGATTCAACTCCACGGACATCAAGTTAATCCCACAGGACAGTATCATTCACTTTTATAATAGCTACTGACCTCATTTCTGTGTTTGAGCCCTGCTGTAGTGTCATGACTAAATGTGGCAAGCAACAAATCGCACTCCGTCAGCAGCCAGTGCCCGTCCTTTCTCCTTTCAAAGCTTTCATTCATTTCTGCATTTTTAAAGTCATGCTGCTTCAAAACAGCTGATCCAGATGGTGGATATTTGGATTTCAACCTTCCCACATGGTGATGTGGCTCAAGAAGACAAAAACTGTTGCTACCTGCTGCTGACCTACTTCTTTCTTTAATTTGTTTCCTGCCATACAACAGAATAAACGATACAGTTCATTGAACTAGTCTTCCACAGCTAGCCATTGCTATGCAGCAAATATAAAATAAAATTAATAGAGAAAGGATGGAGAAGGAGAAAAAAAAAAAAAAAGGCAGCATGATCCAGTGGGGGAAAAGGAGGGAGCAACTCTCACCTCTATCAAAGTCATCTTCCTCTATTGCTTTTTCCTGAAGCCTCTGAAGCCGTAAGATCAAGGATTTTATCTATGCAAAGAGAAAAAAAAGTTCATTATGAAGAAGTCAGCATTTAAAAACATTTAGACTACTAACCTCTACTTAATATAAATTTAATGAATTACTGCATAGGACCAATTTTGAGAATTAAGCCCATCATTTGTTAAGTGGACAGACCTATTAGGAAGTCAGCTGAACTGCAGCTACTTGAGCCAAACATGGCTTTAGTCCAAACACATACAGAGAATAACAAACAATATTTCTTGAAAAGCAAAAGAGGTCATGTGATTGTAGGATATTTTTCACCCTTTGAATAAATCAAAGTAATGACTATTAGAGAATTCTGCCAGCATGACACCTACTCTTGATCATACTGTACTCAACAGTGTGTTCTTGAGCCCATTCTAGCAATTTTTTGCCTATATGAGTTTTGCACAGAACAAATCCAGAATTTCCATATTCAAACCACATTTTCTTCTGTAAATAAAAAAAGAAATACAGTATGAATATTTTGGAACAAGTATACTCATGTTACGGCACAGAAAACTGTGTTCACATGCAGCCAATGAAGCTTCATTAAAATATAATTTAGCCTCATCTACATAACATTGGCATTTGCATTTTCAGAAATGTTCACACTGCAAATGTGCTAGATAGGAAAAAAAAGCAAAACACCAAAAACACCCATACCACAGAGAGAGTGCCTTTTCACACCCAAAAATCCCCTTACCATTAAGTTTTATTTCAAAAGTTACTGCTTCTCTTTGTTAACATGAAGGGTCTGGACCAAAGTTCTGAATTTACTAAAAATTCATTAAGGCCAGGTGTGCATTCAAAGGCCATTACAAGCTTTTATTGTTCAGAGAATTTGGTTAGAAGGTAGGCAATCCTCTCCTCATTGCTATGCCAGCCACTGCCTAACATGGCTACAGTTAAAAGATTGAAAAATGTTTTCTTCTTATTAAATTTATACATAACCTGTACCAAAAAAGCTACTACTGGCACTGCAAAAGGTAAGCTTGGAAAAAGCAGCAGCATAGATTCATTCTCATAGCCCAAAGCCCAAAAGTGCTTGGGAAAGCATTTTCCAACACAAGAAAATCCATACCTTAGACATTCTGCATTTATAAAAGATTTCACTCCTCCCTGAAACTCTTTCATATTTAAATCCCTGTATTAAGCTCTAAATTGCATAAAGAAAGATAGGTACAGCCAGTCAACTACTTAATAGGAACACTCAGTTATCATGACTACGCAATCAACACACAAATTAGGCAAGACATTTAAATTAATGGTATCCCTTCTAAACATGGTATGTGAAAGTGAACTAGTCAGAAATTAACTATAAAAGATAAAGACAGAAAAGAATAAAACATGCTTGAATAATAATAGTCTACAGGATGCCCTAGAGGAAAAACAAAAGCAAACAAAAAACAACATTGTATGTATTCCCTTTCTCTCAAGGCTTTATTTTATTTTGGGGTTTTTTGTCCAATCTTTTTCCTCTGAGGCTGGTGAGGGGCGCATAACATATTGGAGAAGCTGTATTTTACGCCATACTTTTGATAGAGTTTTAAAAAAGCCTGCAGTAGGAATGGTTCAAATGACACTTTTTTCATATACATGATGTATAACAACAATCTGTACCGAGAGTACGGCTTTGCCGCTGTGGCAGTGGCAGGTCATTTGAAGTCTGCTCGGGTACCACAGCCCAGGCGTGCCCACGGCAAACCGACTGATGCTCTCACAGTAAAGTGCTTTCTGTTTGCAGGCTGGGAAGATGTTTGGAGCTCAACTCATCAAAGAGCTGCTTCAGCCCAACGTGTCCTGTATCCGTACCACGTGATCACCTTTTTTTTTTGTTAATAAGTACAGAAAAAGCATAATTTTAACAACTTTAATATTGTTTTTGACTACAGTTGCCTTTGTTCCTTTCTGAAAAGTTTGAGACTTGCTCATTATCATTACAATAGGAAGGTGCTTCAAATTAAACATACACGACTGGCTAACCAAGGGCAAAGACATCTGAGGGCACAAATCCCCAATTCTCCAGCCAATGAATTAATGAATGCAGAAATTAAAGATAGCAATGTTTCTTTTGTGCCTATAAAATAAAGTATACTGAAAAGACAGAAAAATAATTTCCAATTTTTGATTGTGTTATATATTCCCAAACTTGCTGCAAATTAATTTCCCAAACCATCCCAGACTATGTGCACATTGTCATTCCAAGCATGAAGCCAAAGAAACTGCTTAATGTCAATGTGTGTGAAGTCTGTAAATAAGATAACCTACTTTGAGTCCTTCATGCATCCTCTAAGAAAAGGAAGTATTAGAGAGCATCATAAGCCCAGGTCAGATGTCATGGAGAAGAAAGAATAGAAGTTTCTCAATCTTCTGTCTTACCCAGACAGCAGGGTTGTACAAAGCCTTCCTAGAGCAAATTGTTTCAACAGTCCTAAAGACAATACAGTGCATCTCAGCAGGTACGTCTAAGCTGAGAAGTGACAAGCACCCCGATTTCAGAAAGGCATCCCAGAAATTCAGGGCACTAGGGAGACACCAAACCAAAAAAAACCCAAAAAAAAACACACCAAGGAAATCCCACTGCCCACTTAGTGCATCTTGAGCAAATTTGTGAAATCCATTGTGCCCACATTAATCTCTACATTACTGCTTCCTGCATGCACAAAAAAGCCAATATTTGGCTCCTTATCGCAGGTAAGCCCGGAATGGTTTATCTCCAAAAAAAACTGCGTAACAAAACATAACTGTTCCTTCTTAAAGTTTCCCCACTTCCCCAGAAAGAACACAGTGAATGGGACTGTCTGCACATGTGATAGGTGTACACATGGGCATACATATGTGCAAAAGGAAAAATTCCAGATTCAACAGCCCAGAACTCCTCTGGGCTTGAATGAAAAAGAAAAAAAAAAAAAAAAAAAAAAGAACTTGATTCCCATTTTTTTTCTTTCTGAGGGGAAAGTAGCCATCTACTGGATTACTCTCATCCAGGTGCCTCATTCCAAGAAATCTTTGGCTAAACTTACACATTTCCAATTACAAAGTTTAGTGTTGTTAAGTCATGGTGCTTCAAGAAAAGAGTTCTTACCACCCCCAAATTTTATACTACATATACTCCAAACTGCAGGCAAAACAGCCACCTGTGAAAGAAAATGGTATCTGCTCAATTCAGAAACTGATGTGTGATATATTAGAAATTAGAGGATCACAGTTTCAGTAGATCCTAGTAATCAGGTACTGCAACAACAACTTTTTTTTGTAAAGAACCAAACAGAAAAGGAAACTGGTTGTCTCACTTTCATCACCCAGACTGCTACTGTAAACCTCTGTGAACAAATGTCACAAATGCCATTAATATCCCAACTCCTACATCAACTTTGGCACTATAAATACAAATGTTCTGGGAGCCAGGAGGAGGAGACAAAGATGAAGTGAGATAACTAACCTTTAATGTACTGCGGTTACCAAGCAGGCAGTCCTGTAGCACTGGTTCATACTTTTTCATCAAAGTATCCCAGTTATGGTCACTAACAGTAAAGCTACTCTCATAGCCTGAGGTGACAGAAGATCCAGCAGATGCTGCATCCGAGGAATCTGTAGAATATGAAAGCGTTGCATCTGTATCTGAGAGAGAGACAGTCTCACAGTCCTGTAATTTATCATTCTCCGTGGTCTCATTTTCATACTCCAAATCCTCTCTGGGCCTGGAGAAGCAATGCAAAGCTTGTGAGTGCTTATGAGTCTGCACTGTCTCCTCTGGCTTCTGCAGATTTCTTGTGGTGCTGGGATGCAGAACATACTCTGCTTCCTTGCTGGTTGACTTGCCTTCAGCATCACTTACTCCAGAGAATGAGTTCAAGGAAAGCTGTATGAAGCTGAAACTTGAACTAAAGCTAGCCTGTGTTCCAGCCGAATGAGAAACATCATCTCTGTTTTGATATTCACAGTTGTTGTTCATTTCTGTCTGATCCAAAGCACACAGGTTTTGGGGCTCACTCGCTTTAGCACCATGACTCTTCTGCCATGTACAGCATACGCCAGAAACATCATCTTTGCTCATTGCTGCAGCAGGGTAAACCGGTGTCACTGTGTTTTCTGGCCGTGGACTCTTGTAGCGTGAAAGATTTTTGCAGCTCCGTGGCGTATTTCCAGCAGTGGCCAACATTGTTACCCCATTAGCGGGAGCTACAGCGCTATTTGCAACTGAGCTACAGCGTAAGAATTCAAAGTTATTCTTGTATTGTCTGCGTAGAGAGCAGTTCTCAAAGTCTCCACCATACTGCCTGCCATGTTTGAGCTCTTCTGGGTTGAATGGCTTGCAGGCACCCAGGGACTGAAACTCTATCTGTCGCCGAGCTTCTGGCCTCATGTATCCAGGTCTTTTTGCCAGTTTCTTTTTACGAAGAGAGCCTGCAGGCATTAACTGCTCCTGACCATCTGAGAGGGGAGGGGAAGGAGGAGGGGAGAGAAAAAGTCATTAAAGTGTTTCTGCAGTTTTCTAGGCTTAACACATTGTAGCATCTGAAAATAATTGTTTCAGGAATGTCAAACAGCACATCAGTTTCCATTTCAACAAAACAAAGACACCAACCATATTGCAGATGGAGGAGAAATGTTGCTACCAGAGAACACTGTGTTTATTCATCCCGCTTTCTAAAGAGTTTGCATCTGCTTTTAAGTGATCTCACTACCAATCACGTCCAACAGGACACAAACCTGGGTAAGATGAACCACATCGTCTTCCCTGTTCGTAGCAATGCTTTGCACTCTCTCATTCTCAATTCACTTAGCAGCACACCAAAGCACAGACCTTGCTTGAGTCTCTCTGATTCAGAGTGATTTTCAGACACTCAAGCACAGCTAGGATAGCACTGAATCTGCATCAAAAAGGTGAGAACCATACTTGCAAAGAAACTTTGTGCATGATCTGTTGTTGTTCATCTCCAGTTTTTTGTGTTGGTATCCTTGTTTTCTTAATAGGAGCATCTTAAATTCTGCTTCCAGAACAGATGCAACACCCTTGACACTCTATGGCTGCATATCTGTCAGTTTAATGAGATATTTTATAAGTTTTCATTTAGATTTATGGTACCTGTTGTCCAAAATATAAAGTTAAAGTTTTGCATGCAGGATCATCCATCCTAGAAAGCTTGCTACCATTGCTGTAGTATTAGCACCATTAAGAAAGGGGCCTCTGTTCAACTTCCCCACATATACCTTACGTAGATGAAATTTCCTGCTTGCAGAGCAGAATAGAAAGAACCAAGATAAAAAAAAAAAAAAAACCAAAACGCAAAAAACCATTAAAAGTGGGAGATCAGAATGTAATATCTTGTCTTTGTTTTCCGTACATTACTACCTAAAAACACCTACGCATAGATTTAGAAGATTACATGGTGACAATTTCAGATTCTTATGGATTTACTAGTAGTAAAAGAGGTACTCCATTCTTCGATCCTGCACACAATCAATGGGAATACAAGCCCTGCATCATCATCCATTTTGTAACACAAAAACATATTGAACGGGCCTATTTGCGTGATTCACCCTCCTAAGAGCTCTGGCGACCAGCTGAATTATGCCCTCCATTAGCTGCCCTCTAGTCACTGAAACAGAATCAAATGCCAGAATCTCAGGTGTCAGAAATATTCTCACCACCCTCATGGAGCTCTTTCAAAAACGCAAGTTTCAGAAAAAAAAAAATTTCCTTGCATACAATATATTTACCATCCATCTCTAATGACAACCCTTTATCAACTGTAACATTGAGAGATGTGCACATAACCTAAGCACCTCAGCAGCTCCTAACACAGGTCTCATACACACCTCACTACAATGACATCCTACACAAAAATTTAAGCATTAGATCTGAAACTTCCCAGGAGACTTTTCCCAACATTCACAACACCCTCTCCAAATAACCTTCAACAAAAGCAATTTATACATTTTTCACATATTAGAATAGTGGCACATCTCACCATGGGACTGCAGTTAAGCTTCTGTATTCTACTTCTTATCACCATAAATTAGAATACCCCAGCTGTCTCTTACCTTCTCTTTTGTCAGAGGAAAACGCATCACAGAAATCAGAAATAAGAAAGGTCACAGAGTCCATCAGCCTGTCTACTGTAAAAAGACAGTGAAATGCTGTACTGGGAGTAATGTAATAGAAGTCTTCACAAATAGGAACCACTCTTGGAGTAAAGGAACAAAAACTGAACAAAATGTTCTTTAGAACGTAATTCTTTTACTTTATATACAAAATAAAAGTCTAAATTTGCCTTCAGCAGAAGAAATTAGTCATGCAGAAAAAAGTCATTCTGAGACTGGACATACTTTATTGCCATTTACAAAGGCTAGTCACAGGCTTCGTCTGTAAAAATGGAAAAGGTTCTTAAGTTTAATTAAAATCAGTTTAAAATTGATCTCACTAAATTGCTAAGAATTTCTAAAGCCGACAGATAATTAAAGCTCCTTAAAACCCAAATTTAAACTAAGCTAATGTAAGTAAGGTTTAAATTTGCCGAGGTGTTAGCTATTTGCACCAAGTGAACTAGACACAATTGTAAAAGTTAATTGGGTCGACATGGTACAGTTCCAGCATCCTCAACTAGTCCACACAAGAACCACACACCTCCACACTCCTCCCCACATTTGCAGGTATCCCTCTAGAAAGGTTTACCATTCAGCTCCTCCAGGTCTGTCTCCTGGCAAGTCCAGCAGCACAAGCCCCTCACCTGGCTACCAGAGCCCCACCACTGCCCAAATGATACCCAAGATTGTAGTCCAAACCATGAGCCATTTGGAGGATGCTACCAGGAGAGGGCTGCAGGTCCGTAGCTCCAGTATACCTGTACTTGAGCACAAAGCAGAGAAGTAGTGGACCCACGGAGTACTGGGGCCAGCACCTCAGCACAAACACATATGCTTTCCCCAAAGGCAAGGGAGGGGAGAGGCAGCCACAGCCAGACCCCAGTCCCCCAGCCAGAGAGCGGTCGCAGCGCCCTTGGCCATCACAAAAGCCAGCAAGGATGTTGCTATGGCTTTGGCTATACTCTCTGTGCACTGTTTCCCCTTCTGTCATGTCTCTCTTCTGAAGTTTAGAGTCATTACAGTTGTTTATCATCACATATATGAAACTTGGCTACAAAGATATTTTTTTTCCACATAGCCTTCTAACCACAGTTTGCTTTGCCTGCACATCAGACACAGAAACTACACTGAAACAATTCAGCTAGCATGTTAAAAAATACAGGCCTCATTTTTCTTTTAATTACCTCACTTTCAAGCATGTCAAGTAACGGATAAGGCCATGGCATTTAACTACAAGACTATCAGAATGGTACTTTGGAACACTGTGAAACAACTGAAGGTAATTAAAAAAATTAGATTACAGCGTGCCATGTGTTGTATGAGATGTGCTTAGAAAAATCACAAATGGAAGAAGGTTCTTTGAATTGTAATATCACAAATCAACTTTTTAAAATATATAAGTTACAATCCTAGAAGATGTAACCTGTATTTTAATGTCAGATTATGTGCAAGTTGCTTCAAATCCAAATTATGAAAGCTCAGAAAGAATTTAATTATAACATCTCTTTTCACCATAACAACCTTTCCTCATGGCCAATGCTTCATCAAGAGTAACATCTCAGAGCCAGAGTGCAAAAAAGAAAGGAATTTAAAAAAAAAATCTAGCACTCCAAAACAAGGTATGACCAGCAATGCTGTTCATGCTGTAGTTGCGCCAACAAGATGAAAGAGGTAGAGGTGAAACCAAAGAGCATTTCCCACTGATGGAAAGAGCACATTCTCTTTTACCCAACCTCATACTAAAGGACAGTAGAAGTCTTCTCATTTATTTTAGTTAATCAGTCTTTGTTTTCAGCCATAAAAGTGGCAGTTCTTTTTTTTTTTTAATTAAATGCTCTAATAGCACCTGTGGACAGACAGGCATAACAACCTCACTTTTTTGTGAAGTCCACAAAGGATTTTATAGATCAGTACAGAAACTCTGAAGTGAGTACCTCCCCACCTCTGCTGTAAGAACACAACGCAGAATGCTTCCAAGCTCATTAAGTTTTCCCTGAAAGTAGCTGAGAAATTACACATGCAGTTTTAGAGAGAGCTCGACTATCCAAATACACCTATATTACACACGGTTGATTTTTATTAGAGTAACAAATTCACCTTCAGAGCATTCATGGGAGGTGACTGTGGTGCGGAGGAAAGAATAGTTGGTCATATTCAAAGCCAACTATCAAAGCACTGCTCTAAGCAATTTCTGTAGTGCTGCTTCTGTCAAGGAATCCTTAAACACCTGCATTAAGCTGTATGCAAACAAAAGTAAGTTAAATGAAAATATTTATCATTTACAGAGAGAGACAAACAAAAGTTTAACCTAGCCCTAACAAAAATAAACCACTCAGGGATTAATCGATCTGACATGACAATAGCCATTACTGTTCGGTTCTTACATCGTAAAAACATGTAAAATGTTGCAGGTTCCTAAATAGTTATGTTTCGACTCATTTGCTGGATTTCAAAAATATCACAAAATATTCAAAATAAGTTGGCAGTGATCTCAATGCAGCTTATGTTAAAACAAATCAGCACCATCTCTTTACACAAGTAAGCTTTCAAAGAAAGTTATTTTTTTATACAGATTTTTATAACTCTTAAAATGCAAAGGTCTCATTCAGCTTTTTCATCTTATTTATTGAATGATATACCTTGATTTATCTAGCATTTTACAAAGTCTATCTATAGAAGACGAGCAATGGCTGAGCCACATAATATTTTATATCATTTATCAATTATTTCCTCCTGTGATTTCTAAGATTGCAGGCTGGGTTCGGTTATTCAACTGTTAAATTTCCAAGACATGATGTACAAAATATTCTCTGAAGTCACTAAATGCACGTTAGCTTCTATTCTTCATTAAAAAAAAAAAGCCAACACTTCAAAGCATTGTGCATTTTTGAAGTCGGAGTAGGCTTTCTTAGCCAGTATTTAAATAATTGTATTTTTATTGACACACACCCATAAAGTGCATGTCATTGAGTTGCTACATTTGAGCCACTTGCCACCTTAATGCAACAACTCATTTTAAACCATTTGATGAAATTACAGCACCTCTCTCAAGAGTAAGAATCACATTAGCTGATACCAGTATCAATAAGGCCAAATTTTTTACCCTTAAGAAAAAAAGTGCTTTAAATCTGGTTTTGCCTTAACACTAAGAAAAAAGAAAAAAACCCCAATCATTAAAAAGTAGTTGGTAAATACCAGATACACTTCCCATGTCAGTAACAATCACATGTTTAGTGAGCTGGAATACAAGAAGCACCCCTTTCCTAAATTACATATTATAATATGTGTTCAATACTGCTAACAGTTTAAAACCCATCTGCATCCCTGAGTATTCACCAGCCCAT